TCGGGGTGGGCAAAATATGGCCCACCAAACATTTCCCTCCAGCCCACTACGATCCTCTGGGATTCTAAAAATCCCAGGGCACAACACTCAGGTTGCCTGCCTGCCATAGCCCTGACCATGTTGCCCCGGGAAGTGGCCTGCTGCTGCTAGCATTTGCCACACCACTCTTTGGGTGGTGTGAGGCCACAATGGCATGCAAGTAGCCTGCCCGCTGCCCACCTAAGAGCTCTACTGTGCTGCCAGCTGGGAGCCACCTATGGCAAGGGCCTCCTGCCCAGGGTCACAGCATGCACCTCACACCCCATTCAGCACCCCAGCCCTCTGTTGCATCTCTGAACTTCTTCCTGGACTCAAACTGCCTCCCAGTTCCCTGTCCCTCAATCCCCTGCCTGGAAATCCTTCCTGTGCCCAAACTCCATCCCAAACCTCCCTACCCCTTGATTAATATGATAGAAAAGAGTGGCTGTGAACACTTACCAAAATTCTGAGAGTGGCCCCCTGAAAAATTATTGCCCACTCCTGCTTTAGGTGCTCAGTTGGACACCTTGATTTTTAGAAAGAGCTGAGCACCTACCCTCTCCTACATGACAAACTAGGCCCACAAAATCACTCAACCCTTTAAAAATTGTTGGCTATTTATCCATCAGTTTGTATAAAGTCAATAGTTTCAGAATTACTTCACAGTGTAGTTCTTTAACTTATTGCTTTGTTTGGTCTTTTGACTACAACTGCATATTGAGCAGAAGTTTTTATTGAGCTGTCAGTGATGACATCTAGATCTCTTCTTGAATATGATAGTTAATTTGGAGCCCTGGATGTCAGTACATATTTAAAGTAGAGATGTAATAGTGTACTTTTTAAAATAGTTATATGCAATGCTACTTCACACACCCACCTACCACTGCTGCCTCTGTATCAGCACAGGGGAGGCAGGTGGGAGTTGAATATTTCCTCTCCCTCTTCCCCCTCTCCCCATGCTGCTGCCTCTATTTCAGAGGTAGCAGTGCTTGGAGGTGGGGAGGCAGGAACTGATGCCCACAGGGAGCCAGCTTTTAAGCAGGCTCCCCGCAAACAGCTCCTCGGGAGCCGCATGCCTTCCCTGTATTGCTGGCTATGATTACAAGTCAGAAGCACAGAGGAAGGAAACGGGGGCATGCAGAAGCTGGCTTAAAAGCCGGCTCCTCGCAAGCACTGGCTCCCACGTTTTCTTCCATTCTTTGCTGAAAATTTCAGCGGTTACACATTTCCAAAAAACCTCTTCTCCCCTCCCTCTCCCATTTTAACATCCCTAATTTAAAGTTACTTTCCCCCATGTTACTTCCTTAAAATTCATTGCTAGAAAATGCATCTGCCATTATCTGTCCAACTGTTTAACATTTAGGAAGAGACATGCCTTAGAGATTTATAGAGTTTTTTTTCAGACCTAAGGAAGAACTCCATGAAGCTTTAAAGCTTGTCCCTTCCATCAGTACAGCTGTTGGTCCAATAAAAAGATACCGCCTCTCCTATTTATGGTATTTCTCATGCCCTAAACCAGGGCTACTCAACATGTGGCCCGTGGTGCAGTTTGGGTTTATGCGGGGTTTAACACATGGCCTGTGGGTGGGAGCCAAAACACAAAAGTAGTCAATATAATGGTCTTCTGTTGATATGGATTTTAGTAGTTAAATTCCTGGACTATCATAGCTCGTTAAAAGTGCTGTCATATGGGTGGAAATCGGGTAAATATTGCATTTTATTAATATCAACAGAACTGACTTAAATAAGGCCTGCATGTTGTGTAGTCTTGCCTTAATCTTTGTATCCATACCTGTCATATACTTGCATGTATATGCAGCCACACTTAAGTTGCAGTCCTTGGCATGTTCTGAGAGTATCATTGTGGCCCCCAGGGCTTCTAAAGTTGAGTAGCACAGCCCTAAACAGTGTCATTTGAAAATCTTAAACCATCTTGCACTTTCTCGTATCTCCCATTCCAGATTATTAACATTCCAGTTTGGGCCCTTAGGCTATATCTCACTAAACATCTTTTGTTAGAACACAAAGTTACCATTTATTTTCTACTCTTTGCTTTTATTTCTTCCACACATTTTCAAGAGTATTTAGGTTCCTAGATATGTAGAGAAGCATCTGATGGGATTTTCAGAAGTATCTGTGCACCAAACTCCCAGTAATTTTCCATTTTCTAATGTATGACAGAATGACCACTTGGCCATAATTACTTGGGCCAGGTCTACAGTAGACCCAGCAGATGGCTTAGGGTATGCAACTATAGCTATGTAAAATACATAACTGGAGTCAGCTTACCATAAATCGAGCAGAAGGCTGACAAGAGCAAATGCTCCTGTTGGCTTCCCTTACTTCTGGTGAAAGGAGGAATACCAGACAGAAGTGGGGGTGCCCTTTGAGTTTGATTTAACAAGTGTTAGCTAGACTCACTAAATTGAACTCCAGAAGATTGATCGCGGCAGCAGCAATCTTCCTTATTACTCCTTTGTGAGGGAGACCCATTTTGTTCCTTAGCTTCCCTCACCTCCCCCCGCCAATATATTGTTGCTTCACCACAGAACTCCAGGAGATGAAGAATCATGATTTTCCTTTACTAAAGCCATGTTGGTCTGACAACTATATCGTGTGAATTTAGGTGTCTTATATTCCTTTACTGCTAAGTAAACTGAAGGAAATAGTTAAAGTAATCTGCTAACTGGTTTCCAGTATTCAGGATCACTTTTGCAGCATGCTACTGTCTAGTCCAGGGATGGGCAATAATTTTCTCAGGGAGGGGCCACTTCATGATTTTTGGTATATGGTCATGGGCTGTAAGGGGTGAGGGCTCAGGCAGAAGAGGTGCAGGAGGGGAACGGAGCAGGGAGAGAGACTTTGTGACAGCTTGAGTGTGTGTGTGATAGTGACTCTGTGCATGTGGCAGTGACATAGTTTGTGTACTGGCTGCTGCTGGATAAGTTTGAGAGAAGCCATACTCTGTCTCTTTAAGGCAGGAAAAGCTGTCCTTTTCTGTTGTCTCCCACCTCACACTCTCTGCAGAGATAGTGTGAGGTGTGTGTGTCTGTGTGTGACACACGAGCATTGAAATCTTAGAAACACTGTACTGTTTCTAAGGACAGGCATGCCTATTTTCGACTGGAGTACCTTCCTCTTCCTATCTGCAGAGATGGAGTACAGCGTTAGAGGGGGACCCTGACTGCAGAACTCCTCTTTTCTCTTGCCCCTGCACAGCTAGCAGGAGACTCCTGAAGCAGCTCAGGTGCTGGATGGAGCAAGGTGTGGGGAGAGGCAGCTGAACACAGGGTGGCAGCTATAAGTATGCATGCTCTACTCATCAGTTGGGCTGGCCTGATCTAGTCCCCTGGCCTGATTCTGCCCATCCCTGGTCTAGTCCTGTAGCATAGTAGCTGATCTTACTGAGAGACTGCATATTTTAAGTGCCTGTCCACTTCATTCTCATGTTCCTTTAGAATTCCTGAATGAATGCTGTTGATCCTATTGACTTGTTGCTGTATAGTTCAAAATAGAAATGTGGCGCTGTGTAGATGCGCCAAATTTCAAAATATACTATTTCAAAATTCAGTCGAAATAAGATGCTCAGATTGCATATTTTATTTTGAATTTAGGGTGCTGTGTAGATGCACCCTTACAGAGCATCTCGTCCTTACGGTGTCATGCTGCAATATTTAGAAATAGACATTAGTTTGGTACAGAAGGGATATGGAGGCGCCATCTTGAATCTTTCTTGAAGTGCCTTGAAATTATTGATGTCTGCATGTCTGGCAGCCCCTCTCACATAGGCAGCCAATTCTCTGATATGTGGGTTGATTAAAAAGTGTTAAAGGTATTGGTGACTTAGTATATTATTCAGAATGTTTATTATGAGTCATTGTCTAAAAAGAGAGTGATTCAATATGGAGTGTCACACTTGTTCAATGGCTAAGTTGGAAATAGACAATAAATGTGCATGCTCTTTGAGTTAACTAAATGTGTAACTCCTTATTGTCAGATAAAAGACCATCAGAGAACCAAATTGTGACAAAGTAGTGGATTGTTTATCTCTAGATGGAGAAGGTAAAGGGGAGCTGCTGATATTCCCAAGTGAAAGTAAGACTAAGAATTAACCCTGTTAGTGCAGCCCAAGGAGTTCAGTGCCACAGCTGGGATCTCTTTACCTGAAAGAGCTACTTGAAGTCTGTTGTGGGGTTTTGTGAATCAGTTTTACAAGTTGGTCTTAATACACTTTTGCAAGTTGTCCTCAAGAAGTAGGAATGTGGTGTTCCTAGTTAAGAAATTAGTCTGGGAAGATGAAGTTTTGTGTTTATATATCATGCTTATATGGTGCCTCTCAGCCAGAAGGTGCTACATAAAAGGCATCTTTGAAATGTGATATCCTGACTCCTGGTGTAGTGTTATGTCCACTGGACTTTGTAGATTGCTGCCTCCTGATGTATTCATGTGAGCTCCTCCTACTTCAGATGAAGCTTGTCATTCACATTTTGCTGTTGGCTCTATGCTGAGAGAGCAGGTTGATTGCACTTGCCTATTTGGGCCAAGTGCACAGTGAGTCTCTCTGGAAATAAAACCACTTGCCTGCCTATTTAAATAAATATAATTGCAGTAAAATATCATTAACACACAGAGTTTGTATTAACAGCACAGGTTTTTTCATTAAATTAGTAAAGAATGGAATAAGGATGTTAAATGTCGACTGACTAATCAAATCAATGCATTTTGCATCAACTATTCGATTAGTCTATAGGGTGCCTCTGCCTTTGAAGTGTAGCAAAAGCCATCAGGCTGTTGCTACACTTCAAAGGCAAAAGTGCCACATGGAGCCTGGGACCATTGGGGAATCCTGCGGCGAGCAAAGATGAGTGATATATCAAGGGAAAATTATTGAACTAAGGCATAAAATGATTTTAGTTCAGAATAACGTTTTTCTACTTAATATCTCTCATATCATTAGATCTTGGGTTTCTATAAAAGTCTTAATTTTATCTTTTTCTTAAAGGAGGATGTAGATTCTTTTATGAAACAACCTGGAAATGAGACTGCAGATGTAGTACTTAAGAAACTGGATGAACAGTATCAGAAGTATAAGTTTATGGAACTTAACCTTGCTCAGAAGAAAAGAAGGTGAGTTACAATTTTTTCAAAGTTTAGAAATGAAAAATAAGACTTCAAAAAAGGTTAAATTTTGCAAAATATTTCCAACTGCTTTAAGTAACGGGGTGCTAGCAATGGAAATAATGCAGTAAATTTGGAAAGATGCAGTTTCTCCTTTTTTCCATAGACTGATGAGCAATGTCAGTAAATTTGTTTAAAGCTTGATAGTCTTTAAGGCCAGAAATGACTACTGTGATTGTGTAGTCTGATCACCTGCATAGCATAGTTCATAGAATTTCCCCAAGGCACTTTACAGCAATCCCAGAACTTTTTTAAACTTATTTTTATATAAAATAAAAACACAATAAAACAATCTATATAAATATATATACAAGAGGGAAATAGCATTAAATGTAACAAAATTCAACATACATTGTTTGGTAAACCTGGAAAAAGCAAAACAAAAAACCCAGACATGCAGAAGTTATGTAAGACATCGGTCACTTAAGTGACTAAATAGATGAGAGAACATAAACTATGACTATCCAGGACTAATTTATACTAAACTGCAAAAGTAATAATTATTTTCATATATGACAAGACATCCTCATTTTTCCCAAGTGTTTCTAACAGTCATTTTTTCCATTAATTCAATAATATAGAACTCGCTAAGCCAGTCTGTATGTGGGAGGAATTGTAGATTTCCTTTTTTCCCCCCAAAATAACTCTAGTGTTCACTAAAATAGTTACTGCAATCCATTTCTTAATTTTAACTGGTAGTACCAGCTCATCCAGCAGCCTTAAAATAAGTAAGCTTGGAGAAGGAAAGATAGAATCACTAATTTTTTGAGAGCACAGACGATGGCATTTCAGAACACATGGGTTTTTCTTGTTCAAGCAGAAGTTATCTTTCAGAAAGACATCAAGTCTTGTTGAAAGACTTGAACTTTTTGGTGTTGCTGAAATAAGTTGCCCAGGACCTAGGAACTATACTGTGACGGCCTGCCTGCTTGGCTACCTAATTGCTTGTAAGCCTAAGGAGCTGACTGAAATTGAAATAATTGTCAGATCTTACTGCTGCCTGTAAGTGAATAGGGTCATGAAACTGACAAGGCTTTTGTTAATTGTACTCAATGCTACTTTGGAGAAAGCTGCAAGAAGTAACAAAGGCAGATACTGTGGTGTGTTTTTATTGATGGGGATCTTTATGTATCAATTAGTCAAGTGTCGGCCTTTACAGTCAACCTGGCAAGCTGCAGGGGAGTCTGGTCTTGCCAAAGAGGCAAATGCACAAGTAGGAGAGCTGGCAATAAAGCAGGCAAGTTTCCATCAAAAGATTTGTCCAAATTCCCACATTCAAATAGAACTTTCAATTTTGATTGATCAGCATTTCTGGAAAATGTTCAATTGGAGAATTTCTAACCGGCTCTAATTTTAATTCTTTGCTCAGAGTAAAATATGCTTGTTCCATTCAAATTTTTCTTGCATTCATTGTATTAATTAGAATGTTGGAACATGCCTGATATACCTAGCCTCCCTTGATAGAGCTCTTGTATGTTCAGAAGTGAAGAGTTTGTGTTAACTTCTAGGCCTAATTATGACTTTTTAATACCTTATTAAAATGAACAGAGAAGGCTTGTAGAACTTGTTTGTACAATTAAAAAAAGATTGGATTTTATAATAGATAATTGTTGGGGGAATCTATATGTGCACAGTGCTTAATTATGACTTATTAATTCACAGGCTAAAAAGTCAGATTCCTGAAATTAAACAGACATTAGACATTTTAAAACATATGCAGAAGAAAAAGGTAAACTATTTCAATTATATAATGGGGTATGAATAAATAAAGCTAACAGTTTTTCCATACTTGCAGAAAACATTTCAATAAATGCTTCTTCGGAGGATACACTTAATATGCTTTTATAAAGTATAGTGGAATTATTTTTAAGGCATATAATTTTATTTACTATCTTTCAGAAAGTTAACATTCTCCTTCTCGACTTCACTTTTAATAACTGCAAATGATCCACTTAATAGTCCATGGAGCCCAAGCTGTTATCTTTACAGCAGTTTCTAATGAGTGTAGAATATCAGCATCTTACAGCATAGTTTCATCAATCTTGGGATTTTAACTTCTGTCTTGAAGTAAAAATTTATAGTACAGTCTCTTCCCAACTTACAGATCGGTTACAGACCAAGCAATTGGTCATAACTCGGTTTGTTCGTAAGTCGGACCTCATAGTTACACACGACCGCACTGTTTGTAAGTCGACCGTTCGCAACTCGGGGACCGGCTGTAGTTTCTCCCGCCCCACCGAATTTAGTATTCATAATGATAGTAAAAGCTGCTACCCAGCCTTGTATCATTTGGAAAGTTCTATAAACCAACATTTCTGATTTTCATTGAAATTCTGTTTTAGAACCAGTTGGTGTTGGGCTAGCAGGCTCCTTACTTTGGTCTGCGTGACTCCCCAAAAGTAATGACATGTCCCTGCTGATCCTAGATGGAGGAACAGACACAGGGGTTCCATGCTCTGCCCCACCTCAAGTGCTGGTTCCAAAGCTCCCATTGGCCAGGAACCTCTGACACCCAAACTCCTTCCCAAGACAATGCCCTGCATCCATTCCATGCCCAGGCCTGAGCCCACTCTTGCACCTAAACTCCCCTGCCAAGCCTGAACCTTTTGGTCTTAGCCTGGAGCCCCCTCCTGCACCTGAAACCCCTCATCCCTGACTCCACCCCAGTGGGAGCCCGTACCCCTCTCCTTCAACGAAACCAACCATAAGCATAGGTTTATCGGGTAGTTGAGTCAACTATTCGCATATCTTCCCTACTGTGCTCCAGTGCCAGGGCAAAAGCAAACCTTGAGCATCCCCGCCTGAGAGGGGTTTGCACGGCTTGTGAAGCCCTCGTCTGTCCTTGCCTGACACACGGGAACAGGTGTGATGTAGCCCTGCTGGGGCAGGCATAGCTCTGCCATTGGGTTTGCACTGAGCCATTGTAGTCAGACTAGGGATGTAATAGTGTAGTCGAGTAACCAATTAACCGATAAGCAAAAGCTTATAGGTTAAAGCTATGGACCACGCATTTACCCCCTCCCCTCAACAATAAATTTTTTAGCAGGCTGGCCAGCAGCTCGGCTCAGTCCTGGCTCACGCCAGGTCCGGGACCTACCCACATGAGCCAGGACTGAGCGCTTCTTCCCTTAATCGTGTAGTCGATAATAATTCTATCAACTACATGATTAGCGAATTACCCACCTCTTAACATCCTTAGCCCCAGCACAAACCTCACATCCTGAATCCCTCATTTCTGGAGCCATCCCCCTGCCTCGCACCAGAGTCCTCTCTCTCACTCAGATCTCCTAAATCAACCAGAATATTTAACCCCTCCACCACCCGGCATTCTCCCAATGTGCTAGATTTAAAAAAGCTTTTACTATACTTAAAAGAGAAAAGGCAGAAAAATATTTTTACTGTAGTTTCTGTATTGCTATCTTAACCATTTGCAATGCAAGTAGCAACTTCAAGTTCTGTGATCTATCTTAAGGAATCCACAAACCCAATGGAGACCAGGTTTTTATTGGCAGATAACCTCTACTGTAAAGCATCAGTTCCTCCTACGGATAAAGTCTGTTTATGGTTGGGGGTAAGTAGCTACCTAATTTCTCCAAATTATTTTTTAAACAATTAAATCGGTAGGTTCGTAAGGTTTCTCTATTCCTCATAGTTGGTCAAAATTCTGTACAATCACTGAGTTTAATGCAATTGGATGAAGTACAGGCCGTCCCTGGGTTACGTGGATCCGACTTATGTCAGATCCCTACTTACAAATGGGGTGAGGGAACACCGCACTAGCTGCGCCTCCCCCCTTCCCCCAGTC